ACAAACGTTTACTCTATCGAATACCCATACCTACATGTATTTTATTTACAACTATTTGGTATACAGTTTTGACTTTTGGTTATCCATGTAAAAATTCATTTGGATATTGTACTTTTCAATGTGGATCATTGTGTTATTTGAAAAATGTACCAGCTTTTACTCATTTTGAAAATAGTATGTTTTTCATGTTTCCATTAAGTATAATTGTTATTGGAAACATTACACTTATCATTCGTGTTCTTGTTCAAAAGACGCACATGAAACGCCAACGTCGACTTGGTTTATGGCGACGCAACCTTCGAATGATTACTCAATTGACGTTTATAGCTATCCTATATATGAGTATATATGTTCCATCATGTATTTTATTAATATTTGGTAGTTATGTTCAACGTGGTCGGTTGCAACCATGGGCTACAAGTGTGCGAACTCGTTACTTCATTCATTTGAAGTATTTAATAGTATTTGGATGTCCATTTATGGTACTTGCTGGACAGAGAGAAATGCATCGAATGATCAAAAAATTGTTGTGTCGGGCATATCAACGTCGAAGTACACAAGTTTATCCTATGACTATAATGAATACACGATGCTGAAAAGAACATATTTGACGTTGAATAGTCGTTGTCTTGTTCCGTGTTGTGTCAATATTAGCTAAACTTTTATTGCAATAAAAGAAGATTATATGGAAAAAAACAGTAAATCCATGCAATTTCTCTGAAAGTCGTGTTTTCGTTTAATCGTAACTATTATAGTTATACAAAGCATTGCATAAGAATGTCTATGATTTGAATAAAAAATAATATTCCTAATATAAGGTTGAATATGCTCATTATTCAGGAGAACTTCGCTTTCTTGTAAGTATGTCAAATATTGAGACCTCACAAAATTGAAGGCCAAGATGAACTAAATTTTGATTTTAGTTGTTTGATTTAAAACTTTTACTCCAACAAAGACTTTTGCAGCATTGAATCTAGATATTACTAACTTACTATTCGAGATTACCAACTGAAAAACTTTCGTCCTTCATTTGGGATATTGTTTGGAACGTGGTGTTCAAACCTACTCATGTGATTCTAACAGCATAAAACTGCCAGTGTTTTTTTGAAAATAGTGTATCATGCTGCATTGTATCGAAATGGATGAATATTTTGTAAGTCTGTTAAAAGTGACACAATTCAGGCGATTTCGATGCATTCTGTGAATGATAATGCGTTCGAACCGCATGTATTAGCGACAAATCCCGAAGGGTCACAGTTAGAAGATAACTTTTTTTATTATAGATGGCAATAGAAAAAATTTTTATTGGTAAAATATAATCTGAAGCTGTTCTTGTTCACGATGAATTTAAACTCAGATAGAAAGCACTCTCTGTAATAGTTCATAATTAGAACCGAAAGTCATAAGCACTGCCGTTGGTTCTTACGATCGTAGAATACTTTAGAAGATCCCAAAAAGTTCCAGAATAATCCAAGCACTGTTATAACTGACGCACTTTTTTCTCCTGTCGGAAAAGCGTATCCAAAATCGTTGGTTTCTTGCCTTCAGATTACTATGGGAATGTATCCAATCGCTGTTGTTTTCTCCTGCTTCGTTTGGTAAGGAAACATACTCAATGATCTTTTGCTTTCCTTCGCCAACTCTCGATCGCTAGAACTAAGAAGGACGAGAGACGGAAAAATCTCGATTTAAACATGTACTAACTGTTCTCTTCGAAAATATATGTGGATTCTAGCAAGAAAAGATTTTGATTTATCGATATCGATAAATCAAGTTGTTAAAAATAAAATCTAGGTAATGTTGAAATATTTGTTTCAATGAACCGTTGTATTCTGACAAGAAATTGTTTTTAAGATTATTTAACAGATCAAAAAGATTACAATTAAGGAAAATTTTTGTTTATAATTCATCTGTCAACTGAATAGTCTGTGTTCTTTGTTGATAATAAATCTAATGTTCACAAAAAGAAAGATGACTTTTTGACATGAGATTTTGATTTTGTCAAATGCTGTTTTAGGCAATTTATGTTACCTGTCATTGCTTTAACTTTTCTGTGCGTCATATCTTAATTGTCAAAAGTCTTCTCTTAAAACATCCTATATATGTATCTACAAATTATTATGTCATTTACAGTGTATTTCTAAGTCTACACTTTAATAATTTCTCTTTTTCAACATTATTAAAGACCGTATTATCCATGTATGCTTAGAAACGCAAAGCATAATCTACGATACTTCGAAATGTGCATAGATTATATTGTTTGCATAGCTACGTATATATTGAACCACTCAGCAATCAAATATTTTATTCTTGTAATTTAAATACTATCGGTTCCAGAAGTCAAGGCACTCGATTGTTTTTGGAATAACTTTTGATAGAAAAAAGATATAGATCTGTGGTTTTCAGCGTTTGATAATTAAGATTCAGGAGTATATTTTTGTAAGCAAAGTTTTGTCGGAGAAAAAACATCTGAAGATCAGTATTTTAGAGGATCTATGGAAAATCACGCTGGACTTCCGCAAATTGCCATAACAGTCTATGGCTTTTTTTACATATTCAGAATCAGCATAAAAAATTGAGCCGAATCGTGTACGTTTTGAATCTTTTTACGAACGGTTTTTTCGCCGAAAAGTTCACTCATAGTCCTCCTGAGGATAGGTCAAAAAATAAAGTTAGTCAAAACGCCGTTTTTATTGTTTATTCATTTGTCGTTTCATGTTCTACTAGCATTTTACAAGCTCCGATTTTGCTTTTCGCTGTCCAAGTGACTTTTTGATTCACTTTACTTTTTGACATACCCCTCAGGAGGACCAGGGGTGAATTTTTCGGCGAAAGAAAAAGTTCGTAAAAAGGTTCGAAACGTACGTGATTCGACTCAGTTATTGATGCTGATTCCGAATACGTAAAAAAATCAATAGACTGTTATGATCATTTTCAGAAATTAAGCGTGATTTTTCAGAGATCCTCTACAAAACTGATCGTAGGATTTTTTTCTCCGAAGAGATTTTGCTTACGAAAATATGCTCCTGGATCTTGACTATAAAACACTGAAAAACGCAGATCTCTATCTTCTTCCTACCAAAAGCTATTAAAAAAAAGCAACCGAGTGCCTTGACTTCTGAAACGGTTGGCCGTCAAAATGTAGAAAGGAAAAATGTCAAAAAAATAATATCCACATGAAGAATAGTCGATCAATGTTTAAGAGAGTTGTGAATAGTAAAGAACATCTTTTATTATACGTATTAGAGTTAACTTTCTAACAGTGATCAAATATAGATAATAAAAAAAAATGGCAATGTGTCATTTTTTCGCTTAGCAACTGTAAATGATAAACCATCTAAGAATTCCATAGCATTTATAGTACCGTCATAATATCGTTCACCAAGATTATCTACACAACGTTGAATAGCTATTGTTTTCGCTTGTTTTGGTCTTGCTCCTAAACCTGTATTAAATTGAACACGTATATGGTGAAAACGATTTTCTTCTCCTTGTAGAAATTTTATGAATGACCAAATATTTGGATGATTAACTTATAATCTACGATTAAAACGAATTTGAAAACATATTCATCTGCTAACAGCAAAGGTTTTCCTTTCTATCAATTTATAAATAAAATAGCTGGAGATTTTGCTTGAATTACATCAGTTGAAGATGCAGGAGCTTCAGCTATGACAATAGAATATTAACTATATAATTATTCTTCGCTTAATTCTTTTATTTAATTCATATCAGGTATTAGTCATCACCATTATCACTGGTTAAAATTCTACACTAGTAGAATAATAAGAAAAGCAACAATGACCTATATGTGATTAGAGTCACCATTTACTGGAGACATCATGTTTTTCGATATTTTTCCACTTTAATATTTCCTCTTGCATATTTTTTCTTTCGACATTTTTTCAGCATACCTCTGGAACCGATAATAGCTTATCATTATTATTAAATAATCATAGGTCTTACAAGACACAGGATCCATGGCATTTTAGAAAACATTCAATAAGTGTTATAAATGAGTTGACTAACTGCAAGGCATTCTCATCGAAATGTATCACTTGTACAAATAAAATTAATATCCGATAGGACGTTGATTATACTTCATAAAATTTTGAAAATTATCTTTGACATTTCACAGAATTGCTAGATGAATAGAACACGATGGTCATTCTAAATTCTAGTAAAGATAGCATAAAAAACAATCATAGATATTTCATAAAAACAGATGACGTAGAAATAATTTCATCATATGTCTGAAACATCTATGTAAGATAATACAGTGCTTTATTTGAACTTTAGATAAATATTACATACACCAGAAGATGGGATTTGTAAGCGTAATTGATTTATTAGTTAAATCCCTACAACGATATTTTTTTGTTCTGATCAAGTCTAATGCTCGAAAGTTTTATTGACGAATAGTATTTGGCTGTTTGTCATATGTAGATGTACTTCGTGTACATTTTTCAGCAGTATTTTATTTTTCCGTAAAAGAAATATCTAGTTTTTAAGACATAATGCACTGTAAGAATGTGTTTGAATGAGATGATCGATTATGAATAATATGATGCTGTTTTAGTTCGCATTATTTTGTTTAGACAACAAGCCATATTCTGAGATAAACGACATTATCTTCATTAATTATACCAATGTGAGTTTGCATCTAATAAAGTTTATTCTTGCCGAATTTTTTAGAGAATAGCTGTATTTTCTCACTTGAAACACGATGAAAACTCTATAAAATGCATCAGCTAAAGAAAAAGTTTGAATGTTGTCAAAAACAGACTGCGTTTCTTGTAATCGCATGCATAGATGATTGCTGTTAAGAAAATATAATTACTTAGATTGCTATCAGACACTTATAAAAAATTCTCAGAGAATATTGACGTGAAATTTAATTACAAATAGTAAAGGTAATAACACACTAGAGTAGCTTTATCACTGTTCTCTGTAATGGTGTTTATTACACTACAACATGACACCGAAAGATCATTATCTCACACATGACACAAGTTTATATAAGAGAGAAATGAACACAGGAAAGAATAATAGAAAGAAAACATTATGAAGATAATCAACGACCGAAAGATCGTAATTGAAATTCGACCCGAATGGATGCATACCCTGAAAAGAAATTTATTTATCTGCAAAATCAAAAAATACCTTTCTCTAGTACAACATTCCACTAAGGTTTGGATATACCTGCTAACGAAAGCCATTGTGTCAGCGAGATATTTGAAGCTCTAAAGAGGAACTCCAACATAAACTCAAAGACGATCACAATCAGAACGAATTTTTTCGCTTTAATTTGCAGCAAACTATAAAAATTTCTGATTGGAGCTAATCACCACTGGATTAATTCTTTGCCTTCGTAAAGGAAGACGCTATTATCGAGAAGAAATAACTAACAATATGCATAGTTTTATCTGATCCTTGTGCTAATTGCCTGATGTGTACTTCAGATAGTAACCAATGATCTCTGTTGAATCGGTCTAAAAACCTTGAATTAGAAATATTATCTTTAATTCTAACTGAAACCTTCAAGAATCACTTGCGATTTCAAGTTACAAGCCGACACATCCGGATGAGCAATAAAGACTTGCCTCTAGTCCGATCAACGTGTCTAATGTTGGTGGTGTAATTGAACTATCAAATATAAAACAGTGAAATAATAAGAAAGATAGACGCATCCAAATATTGACTGCTGAGATTATATAGATTCAATAGCATACTCAATACCATGACACATTGAAAAAATATTAGACAACCGCGCTGAGTATAAGCAAAACAGCAATTATCAAAATTACTGCTTGCTTATCTTTGCTCCTCCATTATTAGTAGTTGAAGAAAATGTAAATCGAAAGCCACCGTTATTTGATATTTGTCAGTAGAATTGGAGTATTCTCATGAGAATAGACCGATATAGTTTGCAGGAATGTGCAACAAAAAAAACTTGAAGCTTATACTTAAATGAAATTTGTTCTCCTCTTTTAACATTAAATATTGAATTGTCTATTGAATCAAATTGAGAAGATCGAATTTCGACTCGATTGAGCTGAAATGAATCTCATTGCTCGACAATACAATTCAGTTTCAATCTCAAGAAAAATCGATAGAATAAAGAAAATGACAATACACCCGTAGGAAAGAGATACGATTATCGGTGCACCAAACCTCTAAGCTGTCTGCTAAGAACTTGAAAATGACCTAAAATATATGAAAGCAATGGTGTGGGATCTACATACTGCTCACTGTATCATATAACGCAGTGTAGTAAATTCGTTTGTTCTATTGTTTTAAATTAGGTCTAATCTGAATCTATAGAGCCTTAATTTATCTGTTATATGACACGAAACACAACATTGTTTATGATTTCTCTACTTGAATATTTACAAAGGAAAGAATTTAAATTGCAAAATTTTTACGATACTTCTTATATTAATACTAATCAATGAGCTTATCGTTTCAAGCAAAATTTCATTACAAAACAGGTCGTTTTTCTTTTCATCACATTTAGCTCAAGTACTATTTCTAATTACTTGTTAGAAAGTGTCAAAGTATAGTCACGTCAACACAAGACAAAAACAACTTTATTTTGATCTGCAAAAGACACATTCTCAATTTAAAAAATGTCTCCATTATAATTGACTATCATTTCCAAACACCTTTCAAATTCTCTCTATCTTATATAAACACTCATTTACCTTTTCAAGCAACAACATATTCAAGACACACTCTCTCTCTTCATTATATTTGCAAATAGCATGTCTGTACTGCCCAATTTCAATCGAACCAGCAATGGTACAATACGTCCTCCACCGCCGAATAAAAATCGATCAAATGAATCTGATTTTCGACCGGGTAAAGACAATGATACTCGACCTAACATGGATCCATTTGATGAAAGTCCAGAGGTTATGTTTTATCTTCTAACAACTCTTGTCATTCCATCAATTATCTGTTTTATCTTTCTATTCTACAATTTTATTCATCTGCCACATCTTCGAAAAAAATCAATCAATTTATTGATAATCTGTTTGTTGATTATCAATTTCATTCATGTAAGTTGTCTGTTTTTTTTATACATATTGTTTCTTACATCTTGGAAAGAAAATCATTTTTTTCTGACTGAAAATTTATATAAATATTAATCATTCATATAGATGTTGGTTGAATTACCATTTCGTCTTTATTTTCTCTCTCAAAATCGAGTTCCTTTTTTCTATCCAATATTTTGTCTTATGTGGACATTGTATGACAATATATTAACTGCAGCTGATCTCTTTATTATGGCATTCACATCTATTGAAAGATATCTTTTTGTATTTCATCATGCCTTTTATCGCCGTTACAAACGCTTACTCTATCGAATACCCATACCTACATGTATTTTATTTACAACTATTTGGTATACAGTTTTGACTTTTGGTTATCCATGTAAAAATTCATTTGGATAT